AGGTCTCTCTTAAGAAGAATAAATAAGTTAAAAAAAGGTGATAACAAATTTGATTAACAATGGAAGAATCAAAAGGTATTGAAAAGATAAAGACTACCATAGTGTGCATTTTCTTTTTCTCTCTAATAATTTTTTTATAGTAGAGATTGTACATTTTTGTTGCTCTCTTTTAACGAGGTTTTATAGATATTTATATTAACAATTTTAATTTATTTGATCAAATCTTAAGGCTATTAAAATGAATAACAAAGTTATTTATTAGTTGATTATACAATAAATGTAGATCATACAATATAATTAATTCAATTAAGATCATAATAGACATTTAAATTACCATGTGATTAATAGATTTTAATTAGCAAAATTAATTATACGTTATTAAGTCTATAATATGATTAGATTCAAATTTTGATTAAAGCCAATTAATGTTAATTGAATTTAAGTATTTAATTGATAATCAAATTGATCATATATTATATTGTGTAGCATGTAGTATAATTTTTCCAAAAGTTAAATAATCTTACCTAATGTACATTGATCATACTAGATTTTTTCTTAAAAATATAAAGATAATGCATAGCAATAAAAATCATATAATATGATATTATGATAAGTTTTTATTAATCATAATATTCTATGGTCTTAAGATAATAGTTCATCTATAATTTAAAACTTACCATAATTATAAAAGATGTATACTCAGAGGTCATGCAGTTAAATCGATTTTAGAGATTTTTAATTTTTGTTGATTTTATAATACAATCCAAATTATATATTATGATTATTTAAGATTGATTCAAATAATTTTTATATTAGATTTATGTTGCACTCAATCATCAAATATGTGTGTTGGTCATTTTAGCATGTGTAACACTCAATAATAAACTAATAAAAGACTTAGAAATAAAATAATTTAGATCTTAATAACTTGGACCACAAATTTTTTTAGTAACATATGTTCTTCTAAGTATATTTTATTCATAATTTGCCTTTTTAACCTTTACTAGAAGTGTATATTCTTTGCATAAATACATTTTATTTAAATAGTATTGCATATAATAAAATATTTTTGTGTTCACTAAATATTTATTATAAGTTTATGCCCATGGGGTCAACAATATTCTAATTTCTCATTATAAAAATCATATTTTAATAATTTATATAAGATTTGAGATAAATGCAGATCCACTAAATTTATGCATTTTTATTTTAATTCTTATGTGCAATTATGGCAAAAAAGAAAGACTAAGTGATGCAACAATGAGAGCATATCAAATATTACAAGTATTTTTTGACAGCTGAGAACTCTTAACTTGATATTTATTATATGTAGTAAACTGCAAAACTGTATTATCACTATAAAAACATATAAATTTAGAAGTACATAAGAAAAAAAATCACCTTACAGGTATGATTTAGCAAATTACAAACCTAATTATAAGCAAAACACATTAAGAAAACAAATTACCCAACATTATACTAGGATTTATTTTCATAAGTTGATGGCTTTTCTTTATTTGCATCTAGATTATTTTATTCTTCTAACTTCTACTAAGTAATATTCTTCTTTCTCTTTGATAAATATGTATTCTTCTCCCTTATATTCTTTAATTCTCTTATAAATTATGATTCTTCTTTGGATCTATCTTCTTTTTCCATATGTATGCTTCCTCTATTATGGTTATACCCTTTATTTTCCCCTAAAAATTGTTTATTTAAACATCATCTTCAATCTTACATTAATATAAAACTTCTATTATTAACATGAAGTTCAATGGTTAATAACCATCTTGAATCCCTAACACATGCAACTTTTCTCTACAATTTATGCTAAGGTTTATAGGATTGTCAACTTCTCCTAAGGTGCTAAGGACTAAAACTACTGCTTCAATGTTCATGTTTTTGGATGGAGGCTTT